AGTTTTTAAATTTTTTCCTTTTTCCTGGTTTTCCTTCTTCTTTTTTTCAATTGTGTTCAATGAGGGTCGTTGGGCCCTCGATGGCCAAACCACTGGGCCCTTGCCGGCCACGGGCAACTATCGCGCGACTCTCGGCCGTGGCTGACGAGGTTATGGTGGCCCTCGCCAACAGTCGATAAAGGCCTTGCAACCCTCACCAACGACAGTTGAAAAAAAGAAAACAGGATAAAAATTTTTTTAAAAAAATATTAATAAAAAATTTCAAAAAAAATTAAAATATTGTTAAAAATTATCCACGTTAGTATTGGCCGTCCTGCATGGCACCGCCATCTCTCATGTCAGTAAATTTCGGACAAAATTGATCAGATGGACTCAATTGACAAAATGTGAAAAATATTTAGGACTTAATTGGTAAAATTGAAAGGTTAGAGATTGAAAATAGGTTTAAGACTTTTAGTATAATTTTTCCATTTTTATTTGGAGGTAAGCGAAAGTGTTGAGAATTCAATTGGCAAAATTGAAATGTTTAGAAAAGAATTGGTAAAAGTGTAATAAATTTAAAACTTTTTTGATAATTTTTCCGTTTTTCTTTGGAGGTAAGTTGTCCGTTTGATTACTCTACACCAATTCATCTTGACCACCAAGCCCCTATCGAAAAACTAAGCACCTCCACGTATAGAATTTCGCTCACTCGCGATGTCAACAAAGAAAGGATTAATCTTTGATACGCAGGTCATTTGAGGGCTCTCTTACGTATTGTGTTGACCCTTCGCCTTCAAGAGGGATTTCGTAGTTTTGCAATAACGTCATTAATTTTCAAACCTTACTTAGCCACTTGGACGAAGTCCCAAAACTAAAGTTCGCACCCCTCTCTTTCGATTTCGATTTTCGACGATTCGCTTCCGAACCCTAATAGACATAGGGAAAGAGAAAGCACGTCTAATTTGCGCCGCCATCCACATGGAGACACAATGAGAGAGGGAGAGTTGTCACGAATGGATTAGCTTTATATATGTTCGCTAATAATGTATGAAAATTAGAGCATACACAATTAAGAGTGTAGAAAGCCGCCTGTGAAAAGGTGATTTTACATCAATGCTTATTCAAAGGAAACTCATCAGCCGCACTCTAACCATATAGGCCCAGCGCATGTCCACCGTTGAGTCTTGTAGGCCCTCGCGGGATCCGCAACATCGCTAGGCCAAATGATCCTGCAATAATTTTTTTGCTAATTAATATAGCAGAATTTAGCGGTATCAATTTCCTTTCTTTGGTGGTTTATTATGATCAAACTGTAAATGGTCCACATGATGGTTTCTGGTCCTCGAGTGGCGCCAAGTAAGACATATATTAGTCCACTAACTTGTTGCCACGTGTACATGACGGTCCCACTCTTCAGCGACTTCAGATTCCTTCTTCATTTTTCTCTCCCTCTCTCTCCGTCCTCCGCCTCTCCCTCCCTGGTCACCTCCTTATCGGCACCGTCTTGCCGTCGCCCGGGAAGTTGACCTCCCTTACCCACCTCAACCTCTCGCGCAACCGGCTGTCCGGCCCCCTGTCTGCCATTTTCTTCGCTGCACGGCAAGCTACGAGTCCTCGACCTCGGCTTCAAGGGGCTCTCCGGCGAAATACCCGTCCTTCCGTGGGACAACGCCGTCCAGACCATGGATTTTTCCAGCAACACCTCCCGCGGCATCATCTGCCCACCTCCATCTTCCAGTTTGTAACTAACCTGACCAGTTTCAACGCCAGCAACAACCACCTCGCACGCACAATCCCACCGCCGATCTGTGACGCCACAAAGCCCAACAATTTGCACCTTGTCCGCTCGCTCCACTTTTCAGGCAAAAACCTGAGGGTGAGATCCCGGCCGGGATAGGGAGCTGCTCGGACATGGCATGCTTCCGCGCGCGGGCTTCAATTCGCTCGCTGGGGAGGTCCCTGATGACTTGTACGCCGTGATGCCGCTCCATGAACTTTCTCTGCATGTGAACCAATTGACGGGCCGATTGGCCATGAGATTGGGAATTCAAGCAATCTCAGGGTTCTTGCTCTGTACTTCCAACAGTTTCGGTGGCTCCATACCTAAACAGTATTGGGAATTCGGCCAAGCCTGAGTATTTGCTGCTTTGCATCAACGATTTAACCGGATCATTTTGCCTTCTTCATTGAAGAATCGAGTGGCGGCGAGGGCCAGGGAGGGAGGTCAACTTCCCGAGCCAAGGTGAGACGGTGCAGCCGTTCAGGAGGTGGCCCCGGGAGCGAGAGGCAGAGGACGAAGAGAGTGAGCCGCAATGTGTACACGTGGCGAAAATCAGTGGACTAATGTATGTCCTAGTCCTAGCACTCAAGCACCCAATGTTTATTAAGATCGAAGTAGAAGAATATGTTATTGATCTTTTCCTCATGTACAGGAACCAAACATGACGTCACTTTCCAAAATCGTAAATCGGTCGCTCAATGTTACCCAGAATTTTGGAGCACGATGTATAACAGAAATAGCGTTAGATTGAAAACAAGTAGCAGAAGATGTCGTTTGAGATGACAGAACATCAAGACGAGAAACACACAGCCAATTTCCCACGCGAGACTACTACAAAAGCAGGACGTAACACAGAATTCAGGAATCGAACGCCACAACGGATCAACATTATCGAGCGGTCTAGGATGATTTCTTCTGGCAACCCAAATGAGCAAGCGAGGAGAAGAGAGGTGACTTGTGGTCTGACGCGGGAGTGCACGTCAAGTTGCGGCCGAGAGGAGAGCCGAAGATTTTAGCGACACGGGCTTGAAAGATGCGGAACAAGCAGGCGAATATGAGACGCTTTATGCCTCCGCGCCTGGGAGGATGAGGAAGCAGCTCTTGCCTCGTCACTACTAATCCCTTCTCTTTCATAGCTTGCGGCATGGAAGCCATCGCGCGTTCTTTCCTATGCTTTTTAGAGAGAGAGAGAGAGAGAGAGAGAGAGAGAGAGAGAGAGAGAGAGAGATAGAGAGAGATGAGGCCTTGGGGTTCTAGGGAAAAGAAACAGAGAGATGAGGCTTGGTCTTGCTTGGGTGGAGAGACTTGGGGTTTATATTTATAGCATTAGTCATTGGCGAGTGTGAACTGAAATGTGGCTACGGAGCGGGTTTCCCTGAAGGTTCATGCTTGCTCGGGATGGACACGGTATCTCCCATTTAAGAAAGCGTCAACGGAAGACCGGCGCAGAGAATCTACAGAAAGATCGAAATGCAGACTCTTATAACCAACGTAAATAAATAATGTTTCGACAATTCGTATCACGGCCTCTCCCCGTACTTGATATTTGCGGACAGGGCGATTTGCGTGTTTTCACAAAATTCGGACATAAAATTTGAGTTCCCCGGGTTGAGACTATAAAAGAAAATTCATCCCCTCCCAAGTCACTTTATTATCTATGAATAAGTAATTTTGTTCAATATATCTCGAACTGTCTAAAAGAAGGTCCATAATAGAATTGGTAGTATTAAAAAAATCATAAACTTATTATATTGGTAATAATTCAGTGATAAAATTTTTAATTGAACTAATGTAACATTAACTTTTTCACATTTTTCTAATTGTGTCTATCCGATCTAGGCCAAAAATTACTGGTGTGGATGCCGTTCGTCCTACGCGGCACGAATGGCATTGACGTGGACATTTTTTAATAATTCTTTTTATAATTTTTTCTCGAATTTTCGAATTTTTATTAGTTTTTCTTTTCTTCTCTTTTTTCTTCTTTTCTTTTTTTTGTCCACTATGCAGCGAGGGTCGCCGAAACTCACCGGCCACTAGGATTGCAGCCCTCCCATAGCCTTGCCCAATTCTGGGTGAGGTTCAGCCGTAGCCGGCGAGGCTCTAGCAATGGTCAGGGCAAGGCACAGGAGGCCATGGGTGAGGCTGCCTTCGCCTGTGGTTGGTTGGGCGAGGCGGCCTCACCTGTAGTAGCTTGCACCTCGCCCATGTCTGGGCAAGGGCCGCGACCCTCGTAGGCAGGCGGCAAGGGCTTTGCAGCCCTTGCACAGTGGCCGACAAGCTCCAGCAACCTCTCGCCGCCTACAGTGGAAAAGAAAAGAACAAAAGGAACAGAGAAGAAAAAAAAAGAAAGTAAAAACATTCATAAAAAAATTTAAAAATTTAAAAAAGTTTCTACGTCAGTACCAATTATGCCACCTAGGGTGGCTGGCCAACATCCATGATGGCATTTTCTAGCCTATATTGGCCGAATTAGCTCAATTGGCAAAATGTGAAAATGTTTAGGACTAAATTTGTTCAATTGAAAGGTTTTTAGATTGAATTGGTATGAATGTAATAGGTTTAGAATTTTTTTGATACTTTCAAAAAAGTTGCCAACGGAGATTAACGAGCTGCTCACGCGTGGCAAATGATTCTCTACAGTTTGTTTACTTGTTGGTTGTTTCTTGGCTGCTCCCTTGAGCCTATGATCTTTGGCATTTTGCACCGTCACCTTTTCTTAGTTGTTATTTGTTGCTTCCTTCTTAGTTCTTTCTTGTTGAAAAGAAACTATAATCATGCATAGATTCTACGATTCTGGAGATCACTCTAATTCTTCGATGGAAAAATATTAGATCCCAAATCTAACACAGTTGAGATGGGCAAATTGTATTATGGACAAATATTAGGTACACAATGTGTTACTTTAATCCACCATTGATTCATGATTTTATTATTGGCCTAATTCCATAAAAAAACCCCGAACTTTAGGTTTAATCCCAAATCTACCCTAAATTTTTTTTATCTAAAAAAAAACCCTCAACTTTTACTCTAGTCTCAAATCTACCCTCGTTAACCCTCCGTAAAAAATCACCATTAAGTCTTCTGACATGGCAATTCCATGTCAACACAAAAATCTATGTCAGAAGCTTATGTGGAAAATCTAAGTAAAACGTTGACGTTCCTTCTCTGAATATTGGGGAAAGTTAGGGCTTGTCTTCATCTTCTTCAATTCGCGATTGTCGTCTTTTTTTGTCTATTTGTTTTGCTTGAAGGAATTCGTAGACAGGAGGAGGGATTCCTCTGTGAATCAACTGAGTGGTGGACTCCAAAGCGCTCGCTCTCGGTCGCTCGGAGGAGGGGTGGCAGAAACTGCGATGGATGTGAGAATTTTTTCTTGAATCTTATGAGATCAATCTAGTTCGGTATATCTCAGAACTTATCCGAGAGCCCCTTGCATGATATTATATCATTCCTTGTACATTGTCTCTCTGAATATCCTGCATATATGTGTCTGGGTCAATGAAACGAAAATTAATTGTACATATATGTATTTGCTGAGATGTCTTCTTCTAAAAATAGGTTAATTTCCATGATAATTCAAGTTGATTTTTGTTGATTACGACCATCCTGTATGGGATTAGTGCAAGATTAGTATCAAAACCAAAGTTGTTAACGTGTCGCTTATCCTTTTGCTGAGAGTATACAACCTGTTTGATGATGTCCCTGAGATACAATTGTGAATTAATTCCTAGAATTGCTCAATCTGAAGATGTTTTGATATAGTTCACATGTCATTAATCGATTGGTTAATTATTAGACGGGATTCTTGATGTACTTTCATAGTTGCCTAGTACGATACTGAACTTTCGTTGCTTCTGTTGCTCTGTTTACCATGTCTTTGTGCTTCACGTGTTTCTACAGTGATCGGTGATGGTTGTCGATGAGCGGCGGAGGGTGATTTTCTAGAATAGGAGATGTTGCGGTGTCAATTGAATTCTTCACTGATAGGATGAATGGTGACTTATAATGGTTAACAACGAATGCTTAGATAGAGTTTGTGAAATTTCCTAAGTGATGCCTTGAGTATGTCTAATGAATCCAAATAACTAAAGTCAAAAACTTTAAACCATTCAGTAATGAGTGTTAATTCAGTGAAGAAGCTCATCAATTTTCAAGTGAGCGTTAACGGATGATTCTCTTTGGTGTATTGATAACTCTATAAAAATAGAGTTATTTTATCTACTCTAGGCAATAAATAATGCAATATTTGTTAGAATATATTTGGATTTCCTTTTATTTACTTAATTTTTCCTTGTTTATGCGAATATTGAGATATGGAGAAAATAAGGAAAATATGGCAAAAGAAGGAAATGAATATGCAACCAGAGAAGAGTTAGAAGGTGGATATCACATTGGGAATTCGCGATTTATTCCCTAATTTTATACGAAAAGAAGCAATTACCTTGTGAGAGGAGTCTTGGATATTATCATATAAATAGGATAACTTGGGGGAACATGGAGTTTTTTTTTTTTTAGATCGTTTTGTTTTCGGTGTTCGAGAGTTTTTCAAGTATTTTGAAGAGAAGACAAAAATGGTAATGAATTCTTGTTCTTTGATTCAAGATGTTTGGTTTAATTTATATTTTCGTTTTTTCTTCTATTATGTTCTAATTTTCTTTGTTAGAGCTACGATGTAGCCTAACCATGATGATATGAATTTCATGCTTTTATGCTTTGCAAGTAATTTCATTCATGTGAGTTATATATTATTGTGCTTAATGCGTTTAGGTGATTGGCCACCACTTGAATGATTCGATGTGCATGATTGAGACTCGAGAAGTAATAATATGTAATTGCTCCTTATAATATATAACCATGCATTAAATGTGGATAGAAATATACCATGTTATTTGTGTAGCTTTTGGTGATAAGGTGGTCCAAAAGATTCATTGTAAACCGGGAATATTCACAGATTTTAATGCGCTTATGTTTATTTAAATTCACATAGAAATATAGTGAATTGATAAACTGAGTAGGTTTGCTATACCTAGAGATAGGATAGTAAATAGATTAGGAAATTCCGCTATCACATGTTTGATATTGTTCTTGTATGCATAATGATCCGAAATTCATATCTAGTGGTTATGGTGAAATCGGATGCTCTAACATATTTTACCCGATTGATTATCTGCCTTTAGTTTATAAAATTTCGTTTTTAAAAATTGTCAATTTTATTTGTTCTCAATTATATTTTGATCAGTTAGATAAATTTTAGAATTAGTCCATTTTTAATATTTAATTGGTTTATTATCATCAATCTCTGGGGACGATACTCTTCTCATCATTATATTACTTGTTCAACACATTCGCCGACACGTGCAGAATTTTACGAACATGTATTTTGAGTGTACCTCCTTATTCTGAAATCCTTCTACTTGAAAAAAAAAAACGAAAAGAACTTTTAAGCGTGGACTTAAGTGACTCTAGTTTCTATTTGTCTCACATGTAGATAACACATCGAAGGCCTTAAAAGAGAAGGAAAAGGAGCAACGGTGCCCGAGCCAGAGTCAAGAGTCGACTGCAGCTATGATATGAAGGATGCGGAAAAACCTTTATTGATGTTGGTGTTTTGAGAAAGCGTTCTCATATCCATGACATCTTTTAGCAGGGGTTTGACTTAAATGAAGTTGTGTTTTAGATGATGCAGAGCATCTTGTGGCTATTTTTTTAGATCTCCCATTTTCTCTTTTCGATTTATTTGTTTTTAATGTCGGTGAAAGACCTATTGAGTTGTAATCCTTGTTGATCTTGAAATACAAAAGTTACCGTATTAGTTTCTTTTTTTGTATCATCAGCTTTACGATATAAAACCAGACTTTGCATCTCCATCACCTTCCCTGACAATAACTTTTTATACATCTCTAATGTGGATAAAAACAGAAGCTTCAAATGAATTCTAGCAGTTTCAAGCTAATTTTTTTTTGTGGCAAAACTATATAGAGAATGCAGATAGACAATTATTTCATCTTTAAGAAGTAATTTTCCTTAAGCACATACAACACAAACATAACTTCAAGCTTATTGACTCTTTACCCATTTTCACTGCACATTATTCATGTTTTCTGTACTACCTGGATAGATGCATATTCCTCAAGCCAAAAAGACCGACATAACAGAAAAACAAGACAAAAATACAAAATTCCCCTCCCCATCCCAAATCTTCCACCTTTTCACAGATAGCAGCACCACATGAAATGAAAAATCTGATGTCAAGACACTGAAAAGAAGGTGCATTAAAGCATGAAACTGCATTCATTAGTTCCTACAGCCAAAAAATTAACCGATCAATAACAATCACATCAATAATTGCACTATTGTAGTGTAACAACCAATAAAAACAAAAGATGAGATATCACCTTTTGCTGATCACTAATAAAAGTCCAACTCTCGCCTGTTCCCAAGTTCAAGTCTGCGAATAACAAGGTGAGAAACCAAGTCCAAGATGCCTCGGACTCAACTTTCGTAACTGCCCAAGCTATTGAAAACATTTGATTGTCTCCATCTCATCCTACAGCACACAATAACATACCCTTCAATCCAGTCTTAAGAAAGCACCCATCTAAGCCTATGACACACCTACATCCCGCTAAAAAACTCATTTTCAACTCATTAAAACCCACATAAAATCTCTCAAATACTTTGGTAGTTGGGTTGACTTTTATGTCAAATATTCCATTCTTGCTAACTCTCTTGAGCTCCGCCAATTAAGGTCTTAGCATGTCATATTGCTCCTCAATCAGGCCCCTTATATCACTAAGAGCTTTCGATATAGCTTTATACCATTTCTTCTTGTCAAGTGTCAGTGTAAACCTTTCTCTTGCATCCGCCTGCATTTCTGCAGCTGAGTAAGTGAGTCTAGTTCTAATCTTGGGCATGTACTCTTGAGCAAGCCATATAGCAATGGCTTGCCTATTTTTTAGACTTCTATTGCAATTATGGGGATCTCCAACTCTCTTTATGACAAAAGTTTTCTCATTTTGAATCCAACCGCCATACAACCTCCAACCGCATCCTCTTACACACGTTGCTTCCATTCTTTTATATTCACTCTTTTGCCAAAAAGTGCAAAATCCATTAATTATGGCATACCTTCTCACAGCATTCTTGAACTGTTCATTAGATTAAACACTTTCTCGTTATGGTCACACATAGGACTATTCTTATTAACCATTAGGCATGATGTGCCATTGGTTTCTTCAAAATCATTGATATCAGGCCCACTTAAAGATTCATTATCAGAATCTGCATCTTCATCAGCTGCCTCATCTTCGTATAAAACTAAATCTCGATCATCATCATCCTCCTCACTTTATATATTGGCGGAACTTACCACTAAAGCTTGACCATCATCCGCCTCCTCCTCTTCCTCCATTCTTGCTTCTTCAAATTCTTTCATCATCTCCCTTGTCCTCGACTCTTCATCATCTAATATATTTAGTTCTTTATCACTCTAGTCCAATGACATATCATCACTTTTACTTTCATCCTGTTAAAAATACTGAAAGTCATAAACTGATAACTAAAAACAATATTCAAATATAAAGAGTCAACGATTGAATGAACTCACCACTGATTCCAACTCAAAATAGTAATACTCCAATTTTTGACGAGCAAAATGACATTCAACCTGCAAATTCAATGTTGAACACATCACACTAATTGAAGCGAATTGTAAACGACAGAAATCACATCCTATGAACAATTGGCTACCACAACAAGAATCTGAGGATTTTGAACACATCTTTGTTATTTCCACTACTTGAAACGACGGTGACGACTACGAGGAAACAACAAATCCCATTTACAAAGGTACTAGAATAGACAGCATAGGGAAACAACAAGGGCAAGCCCTAACATGTGGCTTCTAACTAGGATCATAAACGTAACAAGAATAGCATAAACCGAAAACACAAGATATATGCACATGTACTTCATCAGAAACGATGGAAGTTAAATTTAGGACAAAAAAGAGCGAAAGAAAAAAAAGAACAAAAACCTGGTTGTCACGAGAGTTGTTTGTAGTTTCTGCCGCCATCTCCTTCGAGCGCGAGCCTGTATAGGAAGAGAGCAAGTGCTTTGGAGTCCACTACTCAGTCATTTCATCGATGAATCCCTCCTATCCGAGATCAATTTCTTCGAGCGAAACAAATAGAGAGGCTAACCCATGAAGAAGAGGGGGACGAAGAAGCTTGCTGGCTCTGGTGTCGTGGCATAGAGAGCGACCCTGATGGAGGGAGTGACCGAGTGTTGTCTTTGCACGAATTGAAGAAGAAGAAGAAGGCAATCGCAATGTGGAGAAGAAAACAAGTGACTTGAAGAAGAAGAAGACAAGCCCTAACTTTCCCAATAAGAGCAGTGTCGACGTTTTATCGGAGATTTTCCACGTCAACTTTTGACGTGGATTTTTGCGCTGACGTGAAATTGCCCCGTTAGAAAATTTAACGGTGATTTTCGACAGAGGGTTAACGAGGGTAAATTTGGGACTCGAGTGAAAGTTGAGGTTTTTTTTTAGATAAAAAAAGTTTGGGGCAGAATTGAAACCAAACGTAAAGTTCGGGATTTTTTATGGAATTAGGCCTAATTTTATTAACTAACCAATCTCTCACTGACCATCAAATCAAGGAGGTAGAAGGCCACTTGTAAAAACAAATTTTTGCATTAACGGTGAATACTACCTTCGATCTTGACCATCGAAAATATTGACACTCATGTCCTTATCAAAGCTCATTATCATCCATTCTTATATAAGGAAAAGAAAACGTACGCTCCACTTGTTTCACGGAAAATGAGACATTTTTAAAAAATATTTCCAGAAAGTCATTATCCAGGAAAATGACAATATTTTTCAGAGTTGTCCTAAAACCTGAAAATGAATAGGAAAATATTTTTCGCCATTTGGTATGGAAAATATGATTTGATTTTCCTGGAGCAAATCACCAAAAAAAATCGAATTTTTAATTATTTTTTATTTTTCTTTTTATTTTTCTTTCTTCCTCGATTGGTTGCCGGCTATGACGACCGTCAACTAGACTTGTCAAAATGGGTCATAAACCCATTTCTTAATTAAATATGTTATCAATAAATATGTTATAAATGGATTAGTTATATTCACTAAATGGGTTATAAATGAGTATAAATATAATATGGGTGTTAAATGGGTCGTAAATGGGTTTACGATTTATTTAAACTCAACTCATCTCTCTCGCCTTTACTTAATCTCACGCTTACTCACTCTGCACTCTTATCTCGATTCGGGTATGAGTTTTCCTAAATTGAGTTAAATATGGAAGTGTTTTAGCAATATAGGTCTGGTCAAGTATGGGTTGGGTATGAGTTAGGTTGGATATAGGTCATTAGATTTGTATTATATGAAAACGGGTCAAAACGGGTTAAAGGGATTTATTTAGGTCAAACCATTTTCGATCCGACCTAAACTTGACCTGACCCATCCGTTTAACAGGTCTGCCGCCAATCGGCCACAAGTGAGGGATAGAATCAACATCCTTCTTTCGTCAAGTAGCACACCTGACATTTCCCTGCTTGAGCAACCTTTTTTGTCAATTGCTTTTGCTTCTTTTTTTCTTCCTAATTTTCTTCAGTGTCTTCTCGCCATTCGATTCCATCTTTATGTCATCTGGAGGATTCACAGAATCAACATCCCACGCTCTTGCAGCATCAGCACCTTCATTCTGATTACTATCCTCTCAATTTTCATGACCATCAGTTTCACTATCAATGCTTATTGCTCGCTATTCACCATCCTCTATAGCTTCCTCTAGAAGCTCCTTTTTCCTTCTCTTTTTTCTACTAGGGGTGAACTGTTTCAAGTTCCTCACAGGTTCTACTTGGAACCTATAATCTACCCTCAGGTACATGTTCCTCATTTTTTGGAACCTAGAACCTGGAACCTACCTTGTCACAAGGGTAGGTTCCAGGGTCTAACAGGTTCTTTTTTATTTTATTTCATTATAAAAATAAACGTAACAATATTGAACAAGCTTGTCATTCACAAAAAAGAATACGAAAGACTAAGTTTTCCTAGCATTATGATTCAAATAAATATAATTAAAATGAGAAGTCATTACGTGAATCGATATTAGAGATGAGCGGTTCTATGTTCTTTATAGGTTCCATCTAGAACCTACCCATGATAATAGGTTCCTCATTTTTTAGAACTTGGGAACCTACCATATCAAAGGTTTGAGGGTCGATTCCAAGGTCTACCCAGGTTCCACCTGCATCATTAATTGAATAATTGCAGTGAATCATCACCTTTAATGACCACCACTTGCTGCTATGATCCACTGACCATAACTTATATTTAGACACATGAAAAATATGAAACATTAACAAGTCATAAAATGAAAGCTCAGACTAGTAGTTCTAGATTATATACTCATTATTTAACACTATGAAACACCGTAGGATCACGCAAAGACATAGATCAAGAAAAAACAAAAAAAAAACTCTTTTAGGTTTCAGGTTCCAGGTTCCAGGTACCTAGAACCTGAAACCTACCTGTCGAAATAGGTTCTTCAATTTTTGGAATCGGGAACCTAACCTGTATACCTTGGAACCTGAAATCTATAGGTTTCCACCGTTCAGGTTCCAAGGTAGAACCTGGAACCATACTCACCCATATTTCCTACTACTTTCCTCCCTCTCATCACCGGTCTCCAATTTCTTTTGGCTCACCATTGCCTCAATCTCTTTCTTCTTCCCTTTCCTTTTTTGACAATAGAATCAAAGTGTTCATCCTCCATCGAAGTCGATCACGCT